AGGGTGTTGACTGTTATGTTATCCGACTCTCTGTTGTATTACATTACATTTCTAAGTATACTAGATTTGTGTTTCTATTTCATTTATACCTGATGATGATTGCTTGTGTTGCAATCGAAACGTCGTATGCTAGTATTTCATTTATTATTTTCTATTCTTAGGTTTTTTTCGGTGAAGTCACGTAGGTAAAACATTTAAATTAAAATTAATAAAAGTTAAATAAATTAAAAAAATCACGACGTTTCGGAGGCAACACAAGCTTCCGTCTTTATTTTTATTTTACTTTTATTAATTTTAATTTTAATTTTTTACCTACGTGACTTTACCGAAAAAAAGCCTAAGAATATGAATCCTTCACAGTCACGAAAGCTTCAAATCTAGAATTATTATTTTCTCTTTATACGTGACTTTACCGAAAGAACCAAAGAGTAATTCCTTCAGTCACGAAAGCTCCAAATTAAGTAAGATACATCTCGCTTGGGGGGAATTATTGAGTCACAAAATTTCCCGCAATTCAATTCGTCGCGGACACATCCCCGCCGCCACCACGACCACGTTCCGTCTATCCGCGTTTACCAATTTTACTCATCCCCATTCAAACACAAATTAAGTCGTCCCACGCTGCACGCGACCGATGATTGTTAAACAAGTCGCACGTGACACGCAAAGCAATTAACGCTGTCTGGATCAAGCGGAACACGTGCGCACAAACAAACAGAACACGTGTACACACAAATACAAAGAGCTGTTAGCGAGCAACTGTGAAGGCCCTCACGACACACAAGTGGGTGGGTGGTCAGCACCAGACACACGCGCGCTGATATCTCAATCTTCATTTGAATCGGCTCTGTGAATGAAATTGAGATACATAGTCAGTGCCAGAACGTGGCAGTACAGAAAGTCGGATATACATAGCTGGTATATTGTTCACAGCAGCATAATCTGTGTTATCCATCGCCCGTGTATGCAATCAGTTGTGTCCACGTGTCGCGAATTTTTCCTTTACATGGAACGAGCACACGCAAACGAAGAGCTCTGGCCAAACATTGTAATACCTTGATCCATAAGTGCATACAGCTTCGTGTGTGAGTGTATGTCACGTTGTAATGTGCAGCACGTGTACATTGTAACCAGCGGCTTTTGGCTCACCATCGAACAAAGACGGCCACTGCATCGTGCTTTTATGCGGCCGTCTGGAATGCTCTTCCGATATTTGGAAGCCATTGGAGCTATGCACTTTTAAATCATCTCGATTGAAAATGTATTTCTTTAGAAACGCTTTTTTATGTTTAGTTTGTTGTCCTTCCCCCGTACTTTCGCGATTAACACGGTTGGCTTCATAGGTGCTCGCCAACAACACTTGCCCCTACAGTATGTGAAGGCTATACGGAGGGGGGCATCTTTGTCTTTGTGTTGATATCAATTAGACGCGGTTCATTTGCCAATTTAAAACGTGTCCGTTTCCCAGGGCGCTAATTGCGACTGCTCTATGTGTAATTGCGCTCGGTGTGTTGATGTGTAGATTGCCTGCCATATAGTTCCACATTTGCTCTCTGTGTCCGTACATAATAGGTATAACGCGCGCGTGAATTTGCATGCAAGAAATCTAACAGCCACGTGCACGTAGCGTTTTCTTACGCGTATTTGCGTACGATATTACACGTCTAATTATACTCTGTTGGCAGTGGCGCGTATGCACGTACAACGAAAAACTCAGCACATGAAAGCGATAACGCTGCCCTCAAGTGATAATTATTAACATAATTCTAATTATTCATTTGTATTGAAGTGGAACACAGGCAATGTGTTTGGGTAATGCCCTGAAGAAGGGATATTTCCCGAAACGTCGCCAATTAAATTACCCCCCTCTCCTCCCACCATCTGTTTAGGACAGTGTTATTGCTCCATGTGTTGAGTTGTTTTTGTAAATAAGTGCGTTAACATTGTGCATAGCTGTGTACATAAATATGTATACCAACAGTACACGCGTGTGTGTGTGTGCAAATATTAGCATTAAGAGCAGTACATTATTTGCAGTAGTATTCGCGTATGCTTCGTCAATTGTAGTACAGAACTGTATGGTAAAGTATTGTATCCCATCAGAAAACAAATATTGAAAACAGGTGACGTTTGGATATATAAAGAAGGGCCATTGCTCGAAACGTCGTCTGTTATATATTTATTTTTCCCGCCCTTTTAAGGCGGGTAGTTGTTAATTGTGTTGCACCACTGCAGCATCGTGTGATAATTTGTAATGCATTGACAAAGCAGGGCCGACTCATCCTCTGCCCACCGGACCAAAGACAAAGATCCCCCGTATAGCCTGTAACCGGCTGTTGGGGCAAGTGCTGTTAGCGAGCAGCACTTAAGGCCGGCACGGCACACGAGGGGGTCGGTGGCCAAGCGCCACGCCCGACCGCCTTTGTCTCCCCAGTGGCAATCTTTACACACCGCACCAGCTACTCATTTTGAGGCTGAGTCGACCTAGGGGATGAGGCCGAGGACCGGTTCAAAGTAATCGTCCCTGGCGGTGGCCGTGAGCCGGGTGTCCGGGTTCATCGCGCGGTGCACTAACCGCTGCACCACCGCTCCCAGGCACTCGCAGGACCCACACACATCATCAATGAGGCCAGACCTAATCAATCACTTATTGGTACCACCTGATGTGGCAAAGTCTACTAATGATTTATGTAATCCTTCATGCGTGTGAGACATATTCTGATATGATAACCTTTGCGGAGTGGCAAATTCGTTGTAGTTACCTTGACTTTTATACCCATGCCCTATAAACAGGCGAATGATGAAATGGGCATTATTACTGAAAAACTTCCTAGACCAAAGCCAGTTAGGTCACAAAAACTGGTCTTTATTGGCTTAAATACACAATGAAAACACAGGATAATAAACCATGGCGAGGTAAGGAATTCTAAACATTGACATTCGCATATACTTAGTAAATTATATATGTAATCCCATATATAGCGTTAGCGATGGGTATATGTTGAAGGTTACATTATTGTTATCAAGCTCTGTGCGTACTTAGATGGTGTTAACAAGAGTAACCAAATCCAGAACGTCCGGGCAAATAGGCGTGATTGCGATGGGTACAAAAACAGGTTTCCTGCGAGAAAAATTAAACAGATGCTTATTTGTAAAGTGATTGGTTTATTGTTTTACTTCTGTTGGCGTAACACATAAAATGGCATCATTAAAACTTTGCCACCTTGGGGTCCGTCCATAAATGACGTCACGCACCTAGAGGTGGGTAAGACAGTTGTGACGATGTGTGACGAGGGGGGGGGGGTGTTAGAGAAATGTGACGTCACATCAAAATGCGCAACTTTAAATAAATACAGACAACACGTTCTACTTAATTAAATAAACTTTTAATAAATGTTTTCTCCTACAACATCAGAGCCACATTAAATACGCACTACAATGACAATAGTTTAAAGCGATTTGAAGCATGTTTTCTTTTTTTTTGGGGGGGGGGGGGCAGAGCTTTGTGACGTCATATTTCAGGGAGGGGGGGTCAGATTTTTTGTGACGCCGTGTGACGAAGGGGGGGGGGGGTCAAAAATCGTCCAAAATCACGTGACGTCATTTATGGACGGCCCCCCCAAGGACTAACACACACACAGAGACACGCGCGCGCGCACGTGTTCCATGCACTGCACTGAGTGACTTGTTTCTGCAGGGGGTAGTGATGCCACGTCACCAAGGCGAACCCCAAACCCAGCTCACAAGCAACAACAATCGCCCCGCAGAACAGAGGAGGGAGACATTAAATAAATAAATAATATCCGCGCATTGTGGGGTCTGCCACCGGGTGACGTCACCGCGAATCCTCGAGCGCGGGGGGTGGGGACGCGAAAGGGGGAGGGGGCAGCCCATCATTAATATTACTCGGGGGGGGGGGGGGGACGTCACACGCGCGCGCACGATACAATTAGAATAACATTAACATAATTTATGTCGAGGAGGTAGCCACCCCCCTCCCCTCGCTCTCTCTCAACCCCGCCCCCTGTGCGCGTGCTGAAGGCGGCAATGGGGGGGGGGGGGTGGAGAGTCGCGCGCCCGCCTGGAGGTAGAGAGAGAGGGGGAGAGTGGGAGGAGAGAGAGGGGGAGAGTGGGAGGAGAGAGAGGGGGAGAGTGGGGAGTGGAGAGAGGGGGAGAGGGGGAGAGTGTGAGGAGAGAGAGGGGGAGAGTGGGAGGAGAGAGAGGGGAGAGTGGGAGGAGAGAGAGGGGGAGAGTGGGAGTGGAGAGAGGGGGAGAGGGGAGAGGTGAGGAGAGGGAGGGGGAGGTGGAGGAGAGAGAGGGGGAGAGTGGAGAGAGAGAGGGGGAGAGTGGGAGGAGAGAGAGGGGGGAGAGTGGGGAGTGGAGAGCGGGGGAGAGGGGGAGAGTGGGAGGAGAGAGAGGGGGAGAGTGGGAGGAGAGTGGGGGGAGAGTGGGAGGAGAGAGAGGGGAGAGTGGGAGGAGAGAGAGGGGGGAGAGTGGGGAGTGGAGAGAGGGGGAGAGGGGGAGAGTGGGAGGAGAGAGAGGGGGAGAGTGGGAGGAGAGAGAGGGGGAGAGTGGGAGGAGAGAGAGGGGGAGAGTGGGAGGAGAGAGAGGGGGAGAGTGGGTAGTGGAGAGAGGGGGAGAGGGGGAGAGTGGGAGGAGAGAGAGGGGGAGAGTGGGAGGAGAGAGAGGGGGAGAGTGGGAGGAGAGGGGGAGTAGGAGGAGAGTGAGAGCGAGGGGGGGGAGTGGGAGGAGAGAGAGAGTGGGAGGAGAGAGAGAGCGAGGGGGAGAGTGGGTGGAGAGGGGGAGAGTGGGAGGAGAGAGCGAGGGGGAGAGGGGGAGGAGAGGGAGAGTGGGAGGAGAGGGGGGGAGTGGGAGGAGAGAGAGAGAGCGAGGGGGAGAGTGGGAGGAGAGGGGGGGAGTGGGAGGCGAGAGAGAGTGCGAGGGGGAGAGTGGGAGGAGAGGGGGGGAGTGGGAGGAGAGAGAGAGAGCGAGGGGGGAGTGGGAGGAGAGATAGGCGCTCGCGTGCGCGCGTGTCCTCGTGCGCTCGTCAAACGCTGCCCAGCCTCATTCCTCATCACAGCTCTCTCAAGGCTGCACCATCCTGCCCTGGCTATCGCTATTGAAGAGTTAACCAGTCGCAGTCGGTCTCCTGCTCTCATCCCTCTCCCGCTCGCGTAGATTCCATTCATTTTGTACATTCGTAAAGACTGGCTGGCCACACACCACGCACGCGCGCTTGCCTGTGCGTGTGTGTGTGTCTCGTGGTGTGTCAGTTTGATTAACAGTAATAATCCTGTAATGTGCACCGAACAAATGGACGGGTAAATAGAGCGAGTGAGACCCATTTGTACTAATAACAGCCTGAGGAGGGGAGAGAGGGGGGGGCGATTGAGGGGAGAGGAGAAAAATTAGCCGCTTAAAGCAAAGAAATGCACTTAGTTCAAGCGAAACAGACTTCTTGCTGTTCCGTATGAATATTGAAGTAGTTACGATTACGTGCAACGTACGTGGTGGTTGGACCAAGACGCATCACGGCTGTTCCATTGGCCCGGTTTGATGCCCTCTCGAGCAGTCGAACTGAACAGAGTTTAACCGCAGTCCAAAATAGGTCAATCATAAACTCGAAGTCTTTTTAAGTAAGAGGAATACGAGAGAAGCTGCGCCCACTCGAGATTCCGTCTGCATCTTTTGCTCGGCATTAGTCCATTTTGGATTTGTCCCGATAGTTGGAAGACTTGGCTTGGAAGAATTACGATTAAAATAGCAAGCGAAAAAGTGCATTTAGTTCCGAAGTTAAAGAGACGGCAAGCGCGACTAAGATTCCACAACTTAAACACGCCGGCTGATTCGGAGTGCCGTTGATCACCGGAGGTCATTTCTGCGCCGAGCAAGAAGGAGGAGGTCGCACTGATCTCGAAGAAAGGATACGAGGCGAACACCTCCATCAAGTCAACAAAGCAGAGTGTTAGAAAGAGAGAGAGAGTCCCAACTACCGTAAAACATGTCCACCCCTCTACTGCCGCTCTTCAACGTGGGTCAGATCTCAGCCTCGGGAGGCAGGAGGGGAGCATCCTCGTCTTCCTCGTCCGCCGCTTCGGGATCGCCGTCCCACCACCACCACCAGCAGCAGCAACAGCAGCAGCTCCACCACCTCAAGCTGTCGGAGAAGTTCGCGCTGTTGCTCGTACTCAGCGCCTTTGTGACTCTCTGCTTCGGGGCAATTTTCTTCTTGCCCGACTCGGGCCGGGCTCTGCGGAGGCTGCAGGCGCAGGGTTTGCAGGACGCGCTGGTGCCACGTGCAGCAGGAGGAGGAGGAGGACACCGGCAGCAGCAGAAGCGTGAGGACTCGTCGCTGCATAAGTCTGAGCGCGACCATGAGTATGCTCTGCAGGAGGCGCGCTCTGCCCTAACGCCGCACGCAGGTGATGGTGGTGCAAGTGGTGGTGGTGTAGGTGGTGGCGGCGGTATAGATGGTGTAAGTGGTGGTGGTGGTGTCGGCGATGTAGCTGTAAGTGGTGGTGGTGGTACTTTAGATGGTGATGGTGGAGGTTTGGTTCGCCGTGATGACGCAGTTGGAGGCGCTGAGCGAGTAGTCGTCGTCGGTGGAGGTGGTGGTGTTGGAGCTCTCGATGGAGAAGGTAGAGATGACCTGCCCGCGCACGATAGAGATACGGTTGTCGAGAGAGGCGTAGACGATGGAGGGACAGATGAAAGTGGTGGAGCTGCAGACGGAAATGTTGTTGGAGGGGTTCGTCCACCGCTTGGAGGAGGTGTAGCCTCGGTTGGAGATGGAGGAGTTCTTGCTACACAGAGTGGAATTGCAGGTGAAAGTGCTCCAGATCCGACAAATGGAGGAGGTGGCGATGTTGGGGTTAACAGCGGTGGTGCAGGTGATGGAGATGGTATAGGTGATGTAGCCGTTCGAGATGGTATGCGCGGTGGGGGTGGTATAGGTGGTGTAGCTGTTCGAGATGGTATAGGTGGTAGAGGCGGTGGAGGTGGTATAGGTGCTGTAGCTGTTCGAGATGGTATAGGTGGTAGAGGTGGTACAGGTGGTACAGGTGGTGTAGCTGTTGGTGACCACCTTAACGGGGCTCCGTCCGACAACACAGAACTGCGCGCCCTCATACGGACGGAGAAGGCCAAGATCGTGGCCGAACTTGAGAAGGAGCAGAGAGAGAAACGCGAGCGCCTGCCCAGCTTCCCCTGGGCCGAGCCGGTGGGAGCCACGGGTGGAGAACCGTCGGGAGAAGATGTGCGGGAGAAGAGGGACAAGATACGGGAGGTGAGACGGTGGTGGTGGTATGTTAATGTTGGTGTGTTAATGGTGGTGGTGGTGTGTTAATGGTGGTGGTGACCGTGTCTGGTGGTTGCTACCTCGTGCTGGGAGCGTAGAAGGTTATGTTGAAGTTGAATTGATGTTGGCGGTGATGCTGGGTTAGTACCGGATCTCGGGGGGGGGGAGGGGGGTTGGCAGTGTTTGATGGCTGTGTTGAGACGATACGAGAACGTCTTTATGCTGAGCTGCTGGTGGTGGTGTTGGGTTTGATGTGGTGGTGGCGGTGGAGCTGTTGATTGCGGTGGTGTTGGTTATGATGTTGATGGTAAGTGAAGATGAGGATGGTGCTGTGGTGATGGCTGTGATGCTCATTGTGTTGATGGAATGTGTTATTGGTGGTGGTGGTGGTGATTTTTTGGAGACCACACATGTGATTGCATGCTTCCCCTCTCAGCCCCTTTTGGGGGATGAGTTTGACACTGACTGACAATAGGGGTGGCTCCGTGTGATACAAGTTGAATTTGCTCACTCGTGTACAGCCTTTATTCCACCTTCATATGAGCGTGGTTATGCTTCTTCTGTAACAATGTAACTTGGTCATTGACCAACGTTGAGGATAGTCCCGGTGCAGGTGCTACGTCCTGTACTCTGTGTGGCTGAAATTGTGGCTCGGTTTCATGGAGCGGCAGGGCTCCCCAAGTTCAATTCTTGGTCAGTTTTAACCTTGGTTCGTCCTCGCTTATCGTCGTCATTAGCAATCACCAGCAGCGCCACCACCACCACCATCATCTGCATCGTCTTGATCACCCATATGTACATCTCGCCAGGGTTAACAATTGAACACAGCGCAGTTGGGCTGCAGTTTAACACGTAGGCTTTCACGACCAATATCATCCATAATAGAGCCAACTAGTAAGGGTTGTCATGTTGTCACGTGTTCTGTTTACGTGACAACCCTTACTAGTTGGCTGTGTCGGGTGGTGGCGGGTTTGAACGACACAGTTATATATTTACGCGATCTAACCCAAAAACCTCTATTATGGATGGGCTGCAGTGTTTGATAAAAATAGAAGACATAGTTGGTTGATAATCACGTGACGTACTACAGGTCTCGGCCATAGCAATGGCTAATTTCCACCTTTTGCTTTACAAAAGTCAGCAGGTGTTTTTTGTGTGTCCATTGAGCAGAGTCTTGGCCTTGCCATATTAATGTTGACCATTGGGTTAGGGGGGGCACCCGGGCAGATAAGCGCTTACCAATGCTTGTTTGAGCATGTGGGCTATTTGAGCATTTTCTTTCAAATATTTGATTTAAATAAAATGTAAAAACAGCACTGCATGAATTGTAATTATATGACCCGGGTGTCATGCACGTGTGGGTTAATGAAACAGCGGGTGCCACTATCGGACGTTAAGGAGCACTCTTAATTAAATAACGGTAGCCCTAATGCCGTTACATGCTCGGCTAATTACTAATTAGGTGGGCAGACCAAGCGTTTGGTGGTCAATTTGTCTACCGTTGCCTGTATTAAAGTTAAAACGCAAAGTTGATGCACAATTACAGAATTGGTTGCCCATTATAGGAGCCAGAGCGGTGAGGCCGTGGTGCTGAGCGTACCGCACCGCACGCTGAACTCGGCGTCCTGGGTTTGATTCCTGTCCACGGCTTGGCAGCAGTGGCGAGTGATACATCTGTAAGGGATGTCAGGGGAAGGATTCCCATCAAAAGGAGGGGGATTGGGACGGTGACGGGGGAAGGGGGAGGAGCAAGCGATGAGATAAGAGAGAGAACGGGCGGAAAGAGGGGAGATCTTGGCAGGAATGAGATCGAGAAGGCTGGGCACGAGTGTGGACTGAAGGAAGGATGAAAACGACGAACCCCCTGTAACCTTGTGTCGGCTCTCCTTGACATCTCAAGGTTCTGAGCCACCCACACCGACTTGCAGTGAAGTATGACCATAATGATCAAACAACCCCGTGACAGCATTGGGATGCCTTCATCCAGTCGTGGGTCAACAAAGGGTTCATTGCTTATTAGATTACGATCCACTGTCAGCCATTTTACCGTCATTGCTTTTGAAAAATGCTGGGCCCCGTCATGGGAATGTGTAATTTCCACCACTGGTTTTCCTGGCCGCCACATGGCTCGCGAGAGCTGTGATACCCTCCGACCTCGCTTATGTAATAAAGCACGTGCCGTGCCATTAGTTATGTAATGCGGTCAGTATGAAGATGGGAGTTTTCAGAACGGTACAATGAGATTACATTCAAAAGTTTGCGTGACCTACATATATTTTAACACTATTCAAAAACCATTCGACTGCCATTAAAAATGTGTTTAACTAGACAGTGCCACCGTGTTGTAAAATGAGCAACGGGGAATGGCAGTGGTGGAAATTTCCTCTTGCCATGGATGGGTTGAAATGAATTCACTCGGCACTGGGTTTGAGACCAAGGGGTGAGGAAATGGTTGATACTATGATACTAACCCACACTATCCTCGTATGTGGGTGCTGTATTAGCCCTAAATAGGCAAACGCTAGCAGCACTCGCCCACACAGTGTTTAAGACTAAACTCGGAATGACTTTGGTTCGTATGAAGATTATATATTGTGTACGTGTGTATGGTGGCACGGTGGTCTGAGTTGGATTTCCACTCACAGCCAACACCAGTGACGATTTCTCTTAACCAGTCCTGGGCCTCCCCTAGGTCGACTTAGCCTCAAATGAACACCTGGTGCAGTGTGTAAATATCGCCACTAGGGAGACAAAGGCGGCCAGGCATGGTGCTGGCCACCCACCCACGTGTACCATGCCGGCCTTCATGGGTGCTCGCTAACAGCACTCCCCAAAAGTCTGTTGAGGCTATACGGGGGATCTTGTCACTTGTTGTTTGTTTGACAGTGGTCAGAGGGCTTGACTCTCTAATAAATTATTGCGTGTTTAAATCATGCTCGACGGCCACCTCGGCCCATCATCCCTCCGCGGTTTGCAAAAAGGAGTTGGGGTTCCACTCTGTGGAAGTCAACGGTGGTCATCCGATGGGAGTGGGGCCACCGACGCAGATGGGTCACTGTTTCCACACTCTGATTGCGGTGTGCGTGCGGGGCTGCACGTGCCGTCCTTGTTGGGTGTACTTGCATTAATTGCAGGGTTTCGCATTTGCATTATCACGGCGTCTTCGCTGAAAGAGCTGTGAACACTAAGGATGTCCTGTCTCGCTGGTCCCCACACCTTCTATCCCCGTCAACTCTCACTCCCATCTGGGAAAGTTATTTTTGCTCGCGTGATTGAAAACGCCAGTAGCAACGATGCTCTCGTGTTGCCTCCACCGATTTTATTTTGCACAAAAGCCACTTGCAAAATGCCATTTGCTAATGCGCTTCCCATTTTACCACTTCACCAAAGCGACACAGAATTACGCAAGTGGCCATTGCATACATGTGACTGGAAGGGTGCCTGACATTACATGGCAGAATCGGGTTAAAAACACATTTAGCTTTTTTTTTTTTACGGAAAGTTAGCGCGAATGGGACCGTGCCACAATGTGTTTGGGAAGAGGAAGTTGCGATGGGAAAGGACACGTGTGCAAGGATGAAGGGAAGGGCCAGTTGTGCAAGGCAAGCATCGGTCGTTGAAGCCTGGTGGGCACCATCAGAGGGAGACGTTGCAAGAACACGTCTTAGGGGGTCAGATGTAAACTTTGCAACAGTTGTGCAGTCTCGCAGAAAGGAACGCGAGCGGAGGTGTGGATGGCGGCATCGTTGACATTGGCCGCGATGACCGCTCTCTAAATGAAATGAATTTTTGAGAGAGCCCTTGATGCGCTTTTTTTGTCCGCTCTCGATGCAAACTTTGCCACGTGCCAGCGCTCTAGCGAACGGCTGGCCGCAACTCTGCCCGAGAAGCCCACACCAGGTATGTTCAATAGGGTTAATTGAGGAATTGATGGCTTTCTGTTGAGTTCACGTTTGGCAGCGGTGACAGCTGATGCTTCCACGGGGGAACGGGAGCCGCCTCAATTTGCTAATCAAAGCGCAGATGAATTATTTATTGCTTCAGTGGGTTCGATGTTTACGCACGCGTGTGTGTGCGCGCGCGCGCTTGCGCTGTGTCTGTCCGTGCGCGCGTGCCCGTGCGTTCTGCCTTGCCATAACCAGGTGTACACCATGGCAAATGATATCCAAAACATAACGTAGGCAAGTCTCTAGGCAGACTCAGCCTAAAATTAACACAGTACCTGGTGTGGAACCACTGCACTACAATCCTGGTTGACCTCGTATTGATTCCAGGCTGTGGTGACAGTCATCGCCGGAGGCCATTTGATACTTTAGGTCGACTCAGCCTAAACACGAATGCGTGGAACGATGGTGCGGCTGACGAAGCTGGCTGGGCCTCCTCAGGACTATCTCATGAGCCAGTGGTCGTCTACACTGTTGCATCTGCAAGGGGGATCTTTGTGCCTGTGTGTTAAATGTGGGCAGTGTTAAATATGCTTCTACAATCTCTTCTTGCCAAATGTGGATGTCACCACAAGTGCTGTCCAGCTCTGTTATAAACCACAACACTAAATACAGCCACTGTAGCGTTTCCTCCCGTAGAAATATGTAAATATGTGTGGGGTGCTGTGTTTATATTTTTTGAAAGCATGCATTGTTGATGTCAAAGGATCCATCCTTCAGCATTGGGGAGTGAGTTGGTGCGCTTCATATATTTATGTGCGCTCAATGAATTACAAAGCTTGGTACTTGGAAAACTGCTATGCACGCCAAGTAATACTGGATTTTTTTTTTAAAACCTACATGGTGTACTTTGGTCTGTATATATTATTTGTTAAGAAAATAATAATTTCTGCATTGTTTAAATTATGCGAGAGCAGGATTTCTATCTTTTTAATATATATAAAACATTGTTTTATTACTATTTACATAACCAGGCAATATCCCGTGCACATTGTGCTGATTTGCAAGTGAGCGCTCAAAGTACGTGCACTGTATTTGGATAAT